AGGGGAGTGACGAGTTAGAAGGCTAGCCATCTTGTAATTGAATATGGATTTTAGATGTAAATGATGATATTGCAAGCTAGATTGTAATTGGAGATCGTATAAATTCATTTAGTGGATTGTTAGTTTACAAGAGATTTGATTTGGAGATTTTGAGGTTAAGTCATGTGGACATAGAAAAGAAATTTTGAAATATCCGATCTGAGTTATGGGATTGTCAGATGTGAATTGGATAAGTTCCGAGCCTTGTGCATTTGTGGGACCCACTCACGAGTGCACGGCGTCTGTCGCGCCTCGAATTCGGGTTTTGGGGCGTGACAGATAAAGGATAAGGAGGAGGAAGTGGGGAAGTTAGTGAGAAAGGGGGGGGGATTTGTTAAACATCATGGACCTCACCAGTGCACAATGCATAGAAGCTGCTAAGCTCTATGGGCCAAGCACTTTAAGTGAAGGTTTGTTTAATTTGCATTGTAGTACTGAATGTAGATTATAGAATTGTGTGATTGAGATTGTGTGTTTCTTGTTCTGCAGCTGAAATGGACAAATTTTTGGGCGCTGCAGGAGGAGCAGCCATCCCCAAGAAGCCAAGGAAGAAGTCAAGGACTTCAACCAATCAAGTGGATGGGGGAGGAGTTGAAAAGGAGGTCGTGCCTAGCATTGCAATCGAAGTGGAGGAGGACGAGCCGGAGCTGCAGTTGAAGAGGAAAAGTATGGAGGAGAGAGAGGCACTACAGAAGAAGAAGAAAGTGATGGAGGAGGAGGGGAGAGGAAGTGAGGTTCCCTAGTTTATACCAAGGCCTTCTCCTGTTGAGCTCGATCCTGAGCTCAAACAGTTGGAGGGGGCTGAGGTACGAGCTCCTAGGAAAAGAAAGGGTCTTGTTCCCCCATTATCCTGTCAGAGCAGCCTGTTCGAGGCAAAGAACATGACGGGGGCAAGAAGGTTTATCAATTCCACCTTCCCCGAAGTTGACAAGTGCCAAGCACGGGACGAGGCTCTGAGGTATTGTGGAGCTTCAGTAGTGAAGCACATTTTAGAGGTACGTTGAATTATTTTTATATATTGGTGTTGTTTGTTTAATCTCTTTTTTCTTCTCTTCTTTTTCTCTTAACTTCTGCTTTGAATTGTAGAGCGCGAGCTGGGTGAATGGTCTGGCCTAGGAGTTCATGGATAGCGTGAAGGATCGCTCCCTCTTGCAGAGGCAGTGTGACTAGCTACAGAAAGAGAAGGAGGAGTTGGAGAAGAAGAATAAGCAACTACAAGAGGCGTTGAACGAGGTGGTTCTAACTATGAAACAGTTGGAGCAAGAGAGGGCTTCCCTGAGCACCAAGCTCGTCTTTGAGGAGAGTAAATGAAGGATCTCCGAAAGCGAGCGTGAGGCTCAGGCGAAGGAAATAACGTTGATGAAGGATGCTTTCATGGAGCTGAAAGAGAATGTGCAGGTGTTGGTGCACAATGGGATGAAGGAGCACATCAGCAACTTCATCAGCTTCAGCTCATTTGACAAATCATCAACTTGTACCGGTTGCCCACTGCCATCATTGCTTTCACGGATTACAGAAAGAAGGTGAAGGCTGAATATCCCGAAGTGGATATTACAAAGATCACCTTTGGCGAGCAAGAAGAAGGAGTGGAGGAGAACGGTGAGAGCATGTCAGCAGACTTTCATCCTCAGATCAAACTGAGGTGGGAGCATGATGCAGACGGACGTGCTGTTTTCCCTCCACAATTCGACTTCGAGTTCGTTGCAGTGGAGGAAGAAGGGGCAGAGGTAGAGGAAGAAGAAGTGGAGGCAAGAGGGGAAGGAGCTGAAGTGGATGAGAGCCAACCAATTCCAAAAGTGGAGATTCATCCAGTTCCTTTTGACGATAAGCAGCCTCCTCTGCCAGACGAGCAGCAGCCAACACAGCCACCTCTTCCAGCTGAGCAGGAGCTAGTGGAGCCACCTCCCCCAGTAGAGAAATAATTTTTGTTTTTTAATTTTTGTAAAAACACTTAAACAATTTCTAATACTGTTATTACGTTGAATGAAAATTCATTTTTGAAGTCATGTGTTTGTTTGTGTTTGCTTTACATCTTTGGTATTATATATTGATAGAAGAACTGAGATTACTTTGGATATGTTATAAATGAAAGTTAATCATTCCAAAGATAAAAAGAAGTTAATCACTTCGGAAACGGACTAAAGAGAAGCAAACCACTTCAAATGAATTAAGAACAAGTACATCATTGCAAATGAATTGAAAGGAGAGAAAGCACTTCATATGTGAAGTAACATTTATTAACAGAAGTGAGGTTCAAGGAATGAATGAACTGATTGACCTCGGATACACAGGATAAGAGGTAAAATGAATCTCAACAATTCACGAAGTAAAAAGTGTAAAGAATAGTAAGACATAAATCACTTGAAAGAATTTTATTAGGGGTAAAATTTCTTCAAGTTATTGACCTTCCAAACTCGAGGAACTCTCTTTCCTTCAACATCTTGGAGGACATAGGCACCAGGATGCGGCACTTCGGCCACGGTATAAGGGCCTTCCCAATTCGGGGCAAGTTTGTCAAAACGAGTTTCAAACCATGTTAGGCCAGCTTTTCTGAGAACAATGTCTCCTACTTTGAATGTTCGAGGGCGGACTCGTTTATTGTAGAAGTTGGCTAGTTTCTACTTGTACACAAGAGTTCGAAGTCGTGCTTCTTCTCTGACTTCCGCAAGGAGGTCAAGGTTTTCCTGAAGCAGCTGTCCATTTCGTCCTTCATCGAAATGGGTGACTCGGAAGCTTGGGACTCCTATTTCAATAGGAATGACTTCTTCGGTACCAAAGGCAAGATGATAGGGTGTTTACCTATTTCAATTAATTATAACTTTAGAATGTGCTTTATGCATTATGCATATTTGCTCTAAGGTAAAGCCGTAACAGAAGAAGTAAAATAATATAAAAATTAATCAAATAGACCAGGTTTGAAGTAATACCTGTGGCAGTTCAGCTCGTGGTTCTGTATGCCCAGAGGACGTTGTTGAGCTCGTCTGCCTATTTGGCCTTATGCTGTTCCAATCTCGGCTTTATACCTTCTACAATGCATTTGTTAACAGATTCAACCATGCCATTAGACTCCGGATGGTAAACGGAGGTGAACTACAATTTGACCCCATAGTTAGAATAGAAGTCTCGGAATGAGGAGCAATTGAATTGAGTTCCATTATCAGCTACAATCTGATTCGGGATCCCATATCTGCAAATGATCGAGCTGAAAACAAAATCTTCGACCTTCTTGGAGGTAAGACTAGATAGTGGTTGAGCTTCAACCCACTTTGTGAAATAATCCACACCAATAATCAGATGAGTTACACCACCAACCCCTTTCACGAATGGGCCTAAAAGATCTAGTCCCCACTTAGCAAATGGCCACGGTGCTACCAAGTTCGTGAGCTCTTCTACTGGTTGGTGAGTCAAATGTGCAAAGAATTGACATTTCGGGCATTTCTGAACAAAGTGAGTGGCATCTTTGTACATGTTTGGCCAGTAATATCCCTGCCTTAAGACTTTGTGAGCCAGAGTTCTAGCACCAACGTGGCTCATGCAGACACCTTCATGTACCTCCCGAAGTGCATATTCAGCTTCGTAGGGGTTTAAACACCGTAGAAGAGGGAGTGAGAAAGATCTCTTATAGAGGACCCCCTCAACGAGTGTATACCGGGATGCTTTCTTCCTCAACTCCATTGCCCCCTGCCTGTCCTCAGGTACTATCCCATCTCGCAAGAAGGAGATAATTGGGTCAGTCCAACTCAGCGTGTCTGGGTCTATGCTAATCTCCATCATCCGTGGCTTTATAAAGCTTGGTTCGTCTAAGACCTCCACAAAAACTGATCTGGAACTTAAAGAGCTATCCGAGGCAAATTTAGAGAATGAATCTACCTGTTCATTCCCAGTTCGGGGAATTTTGCTCAGATAAAATTTCTGGAATTTGCATTTCAGCTCGGCCACCAGGGCTACATATTTCACCATCACAGGATCAACGACTTCACAGATTGAGTTTATTTAGTTCACCACGAGCTGGGAGTCACTGTATACTTGAATCGCACTGATTTTCAACTCCAATGCTAGCTGTAGACCAAGTAGCAGAGCTTCATACTCAGCCATGTTGTTTGTTGCATCGAAGTTAAATTTCAGGGCATGTTCGCTTCTGTATCCATCTAGGCCAATCAAGAGAGCACCAGCTCCTGAACCCTTGCTACTAGATGCCCCATCAACATATAAAGTCCAGCCGTTGGGTTCTGGATTAAGGGTTGAAGGACATGGAGTGCATTCGACAATAAAATCTGCCAGTGCTTGACCTTAGATTGTAGATCTCTGCTGAAATGTTATTTTGAACTCCCCCAGTTCTACTACCCACTTAATTAATCTCCCCGAGCATTCTGGCTTTTGTAGAATCTATCGAAGAGGTTGGTCTGTAAGGACAATGATTGGTCGTGATTGGAAATATGGCCTCAACTTCCTGGCCGAAGTGACAACTGCTAATTCTACATTCTCAGCTATAGGATACCTCAGCTCTGCTCCATGCAGCACACTGCTGATATAATAGATTGGTTTCTATTGCTTAGCTTCTTCTCTCAGCAGAACCGAACTAATGGCTTAATCTGAAATTCCCAGATACAAATAAAGAATCTCTCCATCTACGACCTTAGTCAGTAGAGGTGGCGAGCTAAGATAAGACTTCAGTTCGTCGAATACGGCTTGGCATTCTTGGTTCCATTCAAATTTATTTTGTTTTCCTAATTCATGCTTCTGTGCGGCTGACCTCATAGTCTTGAAAAATGGCAGACACTTATCTGCTGACTTCGATATGAACTGATGAAGAGCTGTCACCCTTCCAATCAACCTCTGTATATCTTTTACTGATTTCGGCGGTTCCATCTCGCAATTGCTTTGATCTTCTCTAGATTGACCTCAATCCCTGTTCGGGACACCATGAAACCTAGAAACTTTCTAGATTCCACGCCGAAGATGTATTTGGCTGGGTTTAACCGCATTCTGTTCTTTCTAAGGTTGTTGAAAGTTTCGTTGAGATCAGCTAGATGGTCTTCTACTTTCAGGCTCTTTACCACAATATCATCGACATAAACCTCCAGATTCCTGCCGATCTGAGCTCGAAAGATGATGGTCACCATTTTCTGATAAGTAGCACCTGCGTTCTTTAAGTCAAACGGCATCATGACATAGCAATAGATTTCATCGCCAGCATAGAACGAGGTTTTCTCTTCGTCTTCTAGAGCCATCGGCACCTGGTGATACCCAAAATATGCATCCAAGAGACGTAATCTCTCATTGCCTGAGGCCGCTTCAACCAATCTGTCAATGCTCGGCATTGGATAGCAATCCTTGGGGTAGGCTTGGTTAAGATTTGTGTAATCGATGCACATTCGCCATTTACCATTTGCCTTCTTCACCAGGACTGGGTTAGCCACCCATTCGCAGTAATCAACTTTTTTGACGAAACTAGCTTGTAAAAGTTTCTCTACCTCTTCTTTTATAGCCTAAAGCCTCTCCCCCCCAAAGAGACGTCGCTTCTGGGCCACTAGTTTCTTCAACGAATTGGTGCTGAGCTTATGTTGAGATACTGAGGGGGGAATTCCTGGCATGTCTGCCGAGGTCCACGCGAAGACATCATTGTTAGCTCGAAGAAAAGCTATTAGCTCTGCTATTTCCTCCGGGTTCAATCTAGTTCCAATTTGCGTCTTTCGGCTCGGATCTCTATCGTCAACAAGCACTTCTTCGACATCTTCGACTGGAGTAGCTCTAGGTTCATCTTCCGGTCGGTTATCTACTATCTCAACACCCATGACTTGCTGATTATCAGGAATCCGTTGGGGAATGGCCTCGGGTGTCTAATCTTTGCCCTTCTTAGATTGGGTGACCGAGGTGATATAGCAATGTCTAACCACCTCTTGGTTGCCTCGTAGTGTCGCTATTCCCATAGGAGTTGGGAACTTCATACAAAGATGAGATTGGGAAACCACAACTCGAATTTCAGTCAGCGTGGGTCGGCCAATAACAACGTTGAAAGAGGACGCCATGTTGACTACTAGGAACCGGACTGAAGGAGTCACATAGGTGCGGCCACTCCCAAAAGCAACATGGAGGGTAAGAACTCCTTCTACCTAAACAGGCTGGTTATTGAAACCATAGATGGGACCATCATATCTCTACAACAACGCTAGATCTAGTCCAAGACTCTCAAAACAATGAAAGTACATGATGTCTGGTGCACTCCCGATGTCAACAAGGACACTTTTTGTACTTCACAGTTGTTAATCATGACAGAAGTGACCAAGGGATCATTGTGGGGCATAACAACTGTTTCAAAATCTGCAGATGTGAAAGTAACGGGTTCATTCTTCCAGTCAGCGTCGTCAAACTTCCGTTTCTGAGCTCGGTTTTGATGCTTAACCTCTCTGACATATAGCTTTCGCTGTTTAGAACTCAGTCCACCTGCTTCCAGGCCTCCCATGATCATGTGTATGATTCTAGCTGGTGGTGGGAGTGGAGGTGGGGCTTGCTGATATCCCACACCTTGTCTGTTTGGTGGATTGCGGATTCCTTGAGACTGTGGCCTCTGTTCTCTGACAAACCTTGGTTGTTCAGCTCTCTGAATGTACTCATTCAACATTCCCTTCTGAGCTAAACTTTCCAGTTCGGACCTTAAGCTATTGCACTGCTCTGTTGTATGACTGTGATCTTGATGAAAATCACAATATCTGGTATGATCCCGGCTAGCAACAGCAGTTCTCATTGGGCCAGGATGCCTTAAATCCATTTTGTTCTTGATCTGCATGAAAATCTGTGACCTCGGCAAATTAAAAGGAGTCCAATTAACTGGAGGTTTACCTGCAGATTATTGTGGGGGTGTAGAGTTCGGCCTTCCGAATCTCGGTGTAGAGGTCGGCATCGGACCTCGGTTCTGTGTCATCCTCATCCTTTTCCTGCTTGGATTGTCATCTCTCCATTATGGGTTTTGGTTCTTAAAGGGAGTTGGGTTCTGCGCCAGGGCGTATTCCTCAGCAGTTATAAATTTCAGAGACCTATCATTCACCTCGCTAAAGGTGGTGGTAGGATGTTTGATCAAACTGTCTCTGAACCAGTCATGGTTAAGACCTGAGATCACAGCTGCAATTCCCACAGTTTGGTTAAAGGAACTCACCTCTAGTACTGCATCATTGAATCTGCTCATATAGTTCTTCAGAGATTCTCCATCCCTCTGTTTAACTCGCATCAACTTAGAAGTAGTTTTCCTGATCAACCTTCTACTGGAAAACTTAGTGGCAAAGGCAGATGCCATTTCTGTATAAGAGCTAATTGACCTCGGAGGTAGACTATAATACCAAGTTCGAGCATTACCTCGGAGAGTAGAGGGAAAGATTTTGCACGTGAACGCATTAGAGGCATTCTACACTTGCATGCAAGAGTAGAAAGCATGCAGGTGATCATCGAGATCCTTCGTCCCATCGTAAGTCTCAAGTTGAGGTATTTTGAAGCCAGCGGGATAAGGTTCCAGTGTGATGTTTGTGTTCAGAGAGTGAGGTATAGAGCCAGTAGCATGGTGTGGGGTTGGGGCACCTCACTGATCAGCTACTAGCTTTTCTAGGTTGTCTAGACGTCTAGTGACATCACCAGGAAGGGGTTGCTGATCTGGTGCTATATGAGATTGGCCCTGAGATTCACTAAGAGTAGGAGCATGCTGTACCGGTTAAGGATTTTGTTGTGGAGCTGGGGGTTGTGGAGCAGGGTTCAGTAAATTAATGAGGGGATCACCAGGATTGTTTCTAGCTAAAAGTTGAGCCAGCACCAACTGAAAACATCGAATTTTTGTTGCATGGCAGTGAGCTGAGCTGTCACTACGTCTTGGTTGGCAGTGGAAGTTGAGTTGTGAGCTGAGGTATGAGGTTGGTTTTCATTTCCTTCTTCTACATGATCAACAGGAGGGAACATATTTGGGATGTGAGGTGGAAGTTGAGATGGGAGTTGAGGTGGGAGCTGAGGTGGGAGGTTGTTGGGGAGTTGACCTTGCCCAAGAGGCAGAGATGAATTGCCAGCTCGGACTGATCGAGTGTTAACCATGATGAAAGAGCAACAAGAAAACTTTCAGTTCGATTCCCACAGACGGCGCCAATGTAATTGCATTAAACCAGAAGTCCTTCTTCAATCCACGTCTTCACTTCGAATGAACCTACAAAGCCCCGAGGTGGAACTTGGGGTAGACAATCCGATGCTTAAGTCAGCAATGATCGGGACTACCTTTAGAGCAAAGATAAAAGGAGCTTAGGGTTGGTTTCAATTACCTTTTTGATGTGGCCCATGGGGGGTATTTATAGGATCCAATGAGGAACCCACGTGGCATGCCAAGCAAGATAATCGGAGCCTGACATGTCTATCCAGACGATTATTCCGGGACCGAGAATTTGAGAGGTATTCAGATGCAAGGATGTCCGCCATAACTGCTGTGCAACTCGTCATAAGGAATCAGGTGCGGGCATGCTCATTGTCGCTGTCATGCAGCTATTTGAGCGGGAAGCTTTGGATTTATCCTTCACTTCGGTCATAAAGGAATTACTGTAGCAATCCGAGACTTGGCACCTCGGACCTATCCTTACAACTTTATTTATTTATCATTACTAAAAAAATTATTTATTATAATAATTAAAATGTATTATTCTATTTTCATTCTTATTTATAATTAAAGGGAAGAATTTTATTGCATTTTTATCACATTAAAAAAAATAATAAAATTAAAATATCAGCATTTAATATTTTATTAAAATAAAAAAAAGATAATTAAATCATATTACACTTATTTAAAAAGTGAAAAAATTGAATTCAACTTATACTTATCCAAAACAAAATTAATATTAAAATTTTTTTATATAAATGTTAATAGAAAGATATTATTATTTTTATTATTTTTGGATCTTGTAATTATCTATTTGTCTAAATAGATGAATAATAAAAGTAATTCAATTTAACAGATTACACATTCATAGGTGCATTGCATTTTCTCAACTTTTTCGTTAAGGACTTCCAAGAATTTATGAAAGAAATCATTTGGCTTTTCCTTTGCTTATTTGGGTTGTTTTCATAAGCAAATTCTTGAAAATATTTTGGCTGTTTTGCTAGGCAAATTTTTGAAAGTATCCCTGTAATTATCTATTTGTGGCTGTTTTGATGGGCAAATTCTTAGAAGTATTTTGGTTGTTTTGATAGGTAAATTCTTAGAAGTATCCCTATAATTATCTGTTTGTCTAAATAGATGAATAATAAAAATATTTTAATTCAACAGATTCCACAACCATAGGTGCCCTGTATTTTTTCAACTATTTTATTAATGACTTCTAAGAATTTATGAAAAAAATCATTCTACTTTTCCGTTGCTAATTTTGGCTATTTTGATAGGCAAATTCATTCCCAGCAGAGTATCATGCATGATTATTTATCCAAAAAAATTTAAAATTTTAATAATTATTTATTCATTTATCCCATTAATGATTATATATTATTCATTTATCCAAAAATATTTAAAATTTTTATGCATTAAAAAAATCAATCATCACATTGGTACCTTAAAACTCAGAAAAACAGTACATTCAAGGAGGAAAATAAGTTCAAAAAACAACCAATTCTCAAGTACAATGCCCCCTCAAAAGTCTAAAATGCATAATTTGCCAAAATTGCCCACCTGGTAGGGTATCTTTTGAATCTTATATAAACAAAATCCCCAAAACAGAACATGCAAGAAATCAAAAAGAGACCAGATCTCAAACACTTGTGCTCATCAGAATTTGCGAAATTGCCTCAAAGATAGCACATTTAGTGACAAATTCACCAACTAGAAGTTATTAAATCTCACAGATTTTGTAAACATCAGGAGAAGTGAAATGGATAAGGAAAAGTTGGGGCTTACCAGTGGGTCTTGAACTCTAAACCCTCTTTGAGAGCATTAGGAGACTATAGGGGAAAACATTGGTCCATCTTAGAAACATAGACTCATAGAAAGAATCAAAATCGAAGCTTGAAAAAGAAAACAAAAAAAAGATACTCAGGACAGTGATTGAAAATCAAAGAAAAAGGGTTTAGAGAAAGTGAAAGAGTTGTTGAGGCTACGACAATGAAAGTGAAAAACAGGAAGATATGAAATTTAGATATTTAAGCTTGACAAACTGATCTTATCTCTTCCCCTTGAACCACCTCCATGTAGAAGAGAACTTCTATAATTAGCACATGCCCTTACGTAAAATCTCACCTCTTCTCTTTTTTCTCCTCTCTCTGTGTTTTTCCCTACTTCTGTTTTCCTTCTTTCTCTTCTTTCCTTCCTTTCTTTTGTAGTCGCTGGGCAACTCCGCGTTGCCGGGTGTGGCGTTGGGTGAGGTGTCACTTTCTTTCCTCGAAATTTCTTTAAAATTATTAATTGTTCTATGACTTTTATTTTGGTTTTAAATGTATGTACACGGTTTTAAATGTATACTAATATTTTTGTAAATAATTTAAATAATTTA